TCTTAAAGATTACCCCCTGATTAAACTGGGTCTAATCCCTCACAGCAACCAGCACCCCCCCAATTAATTTCATATATTACAGCCCCTGATTAGACAGGACCCCCACACTCCCCAACCCTTCTTATGGACCCTGAATAATTTAGGCGTGTGTTTAGGGTTTAGGGTTTAGGGTTTAGGGCTCAGAAAGGGTCGCTGTGCTCACAACTGGCGCTCATGCAAAGGCACATTTTGCCTCATGCTCAAAGCTTGTACTCATCTCGGATGGGCCGGCCAGTTCTTTTGGCCTCAAGTCTCATGTAGTAGCCCAAGCAGTGGGCCTCATCGCATCTCAGGCATCCTGAGGCGTGTCTACATTTGCTGCAGACGCCCACCTCATACAGTTTGATCCTATGGATTTCTTTGTGGTACTCATCGGGCAGCTCTGATTCTAGAATCGGCCCTCCCTCATGCACCAGCTCATAAGCTTTTCGCTGGAGCTCACTGAGCTCTTGCCCCTTGCTCATCCGCTTTGCGGCGGCCTCAGCCAAGTGCTCACGTTCCTTCCTGACCTTCTCACCTTGAGCGATCAGTTTCTCCTTGGCTGACTTATGATCGCGAATTACTAAATTATTTCTTACTATCTAGTACCTACCACCTACTCTCTACTACTTTCTATTTGCTTGAGTACAAATTACTTGCCTACTTCCTAATACTTCAAAAAGTTATGTACTACAGAAGCGGAAGAAAACCAAGTCTCATGATGCTTCTGCAATTCCGCAATCCTCTTGATTTGCTCAAGCTTGAGGTTGGTGCTCGCCTTATGGATCCTCTCATGCCATCGGCTCGCCGCCCATGTCGGCCACCCAGTTGCAGCCGGCCCGTGACCCATGGCCTCAGCAGCCTCTCTCTCAAGGGATGCGAGCACGTAGAGCCCGCACTCATCTGTTCCCTGATGCACTTTTGTCATCCTCTCAGGAAGGTCTGCCGTATCCACCAATCCAAGGCTCATCAAGCTCGCGAGGATTTTCGGCATATTCCCGGCACCTCTCTGACTCATCCGGCAGGCTGTCGTAGTACCTCATGGGAAGGCGGAGATGTGTACGGCCCAGGGTTCCTACAGTTCTCCAGGTTTGTTTTCCCTATATTGATATAATTACCATACAAAAATGTTCAATATATATATATATATAAATAAACTGCAAGTGTCATGTGGGGGACCTGATGCTCATCGGTTCTGATCGCCGGTCAACGACCAGCAGAACCCAATGCCCATGCGAGCCCAATGGCAAAAAGCAAAGCTTTTGCCCACTCATCAGTTTCTTCACAACCTTTGCGTACTCATCCACATCAATCCGTGGCTCCTCATGGGCTAAATACAGCGGCTGGGTCCACCCAGGGCTCACGAAACTCATGCTTGTGGCTACTGCCTCAGGCGAATGCCCACTCTTATCCAGCTGCCATCTCATCAGGGCCCAGCCCAAATGGAGGTGCTGGAGGCTCATGCCCCCAGCTGGCATTTTCAATGGCAGCTCATCGACCACATCCATGGACTCCAGCAGGTCCAGGTCGTCGCTCAACAAGCCCAACTCACCCAGCAGTTCTTGCTTCCACTGCCGGCTCAGGCTCATCTGCTGCCACTTCCATGGCTGCACTTTCTGATCAATCTCAACGAGGAAGCACCTTCTGATCCACTCCTTCCGCTCACGGCCGCCCAAGTGCGGATCCTTGTCAAGAATCACGTGGAATTTCTCATGCGACTGACCCAGGATCTCACCTGATCGCCCAAACACACTTGGGCCTGCTCGCTCATCCATCACTCGCCATGTGCCTGATGGAGGGGCCTCATTCGGCGGAGGGGCCTCATTCGGCGGAGGCAGAGGCGGCAATTCCTCATTCTTGCCAAGCTTGCTTGCCAACTTCTTCATTTGCCCTTTCTTATGCGTTTTCTTCAGCTGTTTCTTAGCCATCTTGCCCAAGCTCATCGGTTTCTTCTTGGCCGATGCTTTTGCCTTGGCTTTACCTCGGTTCACTCTGGCCTCAGGAACCACGGCACTCATTGCTTCGAACCTGCATGCGGGGGGTTCGCTGCCAAATTAACTCATTAAGTACTCATGCGACACCCCTCCACCCCTCACACCCCTCCGCCCTCCACCCCTGCACCCTCCACCCCTCCACCCACCTCACTCCCCTCCACCCCTCCACTCCTAAGGAAAGCTCTGCATGTGGTGGTTGTGCGTAGGAAAGCTCTTCTGCGTGCGGAGGTCGTGTGTGCGGTCGCGAGGCGGCTTTGGCTTTGCAATCAGCAATCATAAGGAAAGCTCTGCGTGTGGAGGTTGTGGATTTGGAAGAACCAGTGATCAGGAAAGCTCTAAAGCTCTGCTGCTGCCGGCAGGCCTCCACAAAGTAAGGATTTCTTTATCAAAAGCCTCTTAGAGAATGCGATTTCTCAAGTTCTGCAAGGCTACCCCCCTTTGGGTGCCTGCCACCACAAATAACGGAGCAAGCTTTGGGGTCCTGATTAGCAGGGCTGGTCGCCTGCGTGTGGCTCTGGTTTGGATCAGCAATCATAAGGAAAGCTCTGCATGGGGGGGTGGTTGTGGGTTTGCCAAAAGCAATGATCAGAAAAGCTCTGCTGCCGGCCAAACCGCAGGCCTCCAGAAAGTCATGATTTCTTTATCAAAGGCTTCTGAAAGAATGCGATTTCACAAGTTCTGCAAGACTACCCCCTTTGGGTGCCTGACACCACAAATAAAGGACCAAGCTCTGGGGTCCTG